TGACCCACAGCGATGGCGGTGATGGCGGCGCGGTGGTTGGAGAAGGTACGGATGGGAGAGTTCGGAGGCTGACGATCACGGCCGGATGGAGGTTTCGTGAAGGACAAGAGATCCACTAACGACCAAACATGAATGCTGGCATCGGACGAACCCGACAGGATGAAGTTGGAATTGGGATCGACCACGAGTGAGGTCACTGGCCGCAGATGCGACGCTGTCGTAGCCACTTGTCGCCCGGTGCATGTCTAGGAAGCACATGCTGTTAGTATGAAACCATGACGAATAGCTGGCGACGCCATTGGGGCTGTGAACAATCGATTTACCTCCCACAAAATCAAACGGCCCCCTTCGGTTCCCAAGATCAGGACATCGCCATTCTTACCCCCGGCGACAGTAATGCTGCGAATGCGCTCCGGAAAGGGAACGGTGGCTTCCTGGTTGCCTTTCTCCCTGCTATACACATGCACAATGGCTTTCTCGGACTGCGCAGCGAAAACGTGCGACGGACTCACGGCCAGGCAATTGGCCGCCGTTGAGCTCTTCTTGAAGGTGGAGCGCAGGTTCAGCGTGGGCTGGAATTCATGGACGCAAACTCCCACATCGCGGAGGGTCGCAGACGCTGGCGCTTTGCTGGACGCCAGCGTCGATGCGATGAAACATTCAGAGAGCATGAGGAACTGCCACCCCAGAAGGTTCAAATTTGCAGGAGGCAGGGAGAATGCGACGAGCCGTTAATTTTTTGGAGACGCAAAATCCACGAAAATGCAATAAAATAAAATGAGGAAATCGAGGCTCCAATCGATAACCGGGATGTTTGCATGGTTTGTCTGCAAGTGCCCGATAAGGAAGTATTATGCATGTCTGTATGTATGCTTAGATAATCCCGCACAAGACGATCTATAAACCTTCATTAATTAAGCTTCGTCTCCTTCTTTCCCTCAGTTCAGGTTGACGGAGTGATACCCTCGCTGTCCCTGTCTTCAGCTCCCTAGTTCCCCTACTCTCCTTTGTGACTGATTTACCTATTGAAGCTAACACTATCCCTTGGTTGCCACTAGCAAGCCATCCATTGTCGACCATAGCACTCTCAGCGGAAGCAGATTGACTGAGCCACCATCAAGACCGCATCTGGAGATTGAAATTTGCTTGCCTTCCCGTGGTATTCAAGCCCATCATGATACAACTCAAATCTCCGCGGCCGCAGTCAAGCTGGAATTCCTGCACATGCTGCTTAAATTAAATTTCGCCTATCCCTCAATCAACATGAGCCTATCGCCGGCGCCCACAGCAACCCCATGCAAGGGGTGTCCCTCTAGGGGCTTCTTCTTTGATTGTCCGGCGCAACGCCTCTACTAACCAGAGAGCCTTGAAATCAGACCGGTGACGTCCTCTGAATGCCCTCCCAAGGCTCCTCCCGCATCCCTCCAACTGCATGTCTCATTCCTTTTGCTAATTAACGAGATCCAAGCACCCTGGGAGACGGACCACCCACGTTGTGCTGTCCCTGCAGGTGGCGCGCATCGAGAGTGCTAGCCAATGGCTGTGCACGCTATCTCCGCTCGCCTCTCTCTGGTATGCAAGGACGGTGGGCGTGGTCGCCCTTCACTCTTCGTCTATGTTCCAGAGTGTTAGATGACCCTCTCGAAGGGGGAGAGTACACATGCCCAGTGACTAGTTCCCCCGTCACCGCAAGGCAGTCAAGGGATACCTGGAAACCCATATTGTTATGTAGTATAAGGCCCTGCCGGCCGCTTTCCCGATCAGATTCGATGCTGCTCCTTTTCTCTTCCTTTGCACATTAGTCCCGAGTAACCATAGGAAATCGATTGTCGCCTGATTGCTATTTACCATTACCGTACCAGCCATGTCCTCCACTGACTGCCAGTCAGCCAGGGTGTTCCTTAACCCAAATAGGAACTGTCATCAACATACCATGTCTGCGAACCAGGTCCCAGCGTTCGCTCCCAGGAGAGTATCATCATATAACTCATTAGCGGAAGAAGCCATGATCCAAGGGAATGGGCTTGCTGCTCCGCGCTATGCGCCCAATGTTCAGCCCTGGAGGAGACAGCAACAGCCACAGAGCTCCCTTTCTTTCGTTCCCTCGACTTCTCCCCGGATGGACCAAGCCGAATATACTACAGCTCCGCAGCCACGTCGACCGGTGGAGCGTCCGCCGGTGGTCATGTCACCCTTTCGCTCTGTGCGCAGGATGAAACAACCCTTTCAACTGCGCCTACCATCTTCGCCGTCGCTGGAAAGCATCGCATCAGCTGCAAAGGAAGCCAGATCGTCGCGACAATTGTCTGGAGGTCAAACGCTGCGAGCCTGGCGCTCGGACCAGAACATCAACGTCACCAGTATAGATTCCTTCGGCCTTCTCCCCAGTCCTCCTCTTTCCGATTCTCTGGGTTCGCAATCGTCCCCATCATCCGCCTACTTCTCGTCTAAATACGAATCCGAATCAGACTATGGCCCAGCTACACCAAAAGGTTGCGCCTGTGTGTCTGGAAAAGAAACCTGTGATGATTGTGGTGCTCGAAAGCAGGAGGCTCGCCCAACAACTTCGGCGCACGACGAGACAACCAATGTACATATGGCACACTCCATATTGGTCAAGCAATGCCGGCCAGCTGATGCGTCGTTGATCGCAACGTCCCCCAATCCAGAATGCATGCCATCGCCCGTCCCCTCTGCAGATTCGGAGACATTTGTGAGGCGGAACTTTTCCGGGTCGTCAATGGGGTCCCAGAGAAGCAGGTCAGGAACCGTATCTAGTGAGGGAAGCTGGGTTCCTAGCAGTCTTTCCTACTGTGGTGAGTGGCTTCAAGGCGCGCCTGTGGAAACGCCTGGCTCCCAGGGCGAGAAGACTCGAGAACAGAGTCGAAGGAAATGCCAGATTGTACAGAAGAGCCCACCACGGTTGAGGACATCACCATCTGATAAACACGAAGTAAGTGTTACTTGCTCACACTTACATACCATGTACTGACGACTTTCCAGATCTGCACCGTTGCGAGGAAAACAAAGCCCAAGTTAGTCGATATTTCCCGGCAGTCATCTCCAGCAATGAGCTATTCGCTTCCAACTCCGCCACAGCCCATTCCATCTACCCCGGATCTCGGACAACAGGAGGTATCAGCTTTCAGTCCGGACACTCCAATGGAGATGTCTGACAGTGGATATATCACTCATCCCGAGTGTCCCTCGCCCGATGACCTCCGGAACGATAAGGATGACGATGATGACTACACTGATGCAGGCTCTATGAGTTCAGAGAGCGTCGGCGAGACCATTGTATGTAATAAACCGACGCCAGCTCCGCCTGAGCCGATGTCTCCGCCCAAGTTAGAGAGACCACCCAAATTTAGCACATCACCCCAGGTCCAAGCATCACCTGGGCGCTCCTCGACCATGTCAGAGAAGGAAGAGTTAGAAAAGTGGTGGGATCACGAATGGACTATTGATCAACTGGAACATTCAGTGAAGGACTTCCCACGAAATATGCTTCGTTTAACTTCACCCGTCATCATGTTCATCCGTCACAACAACGAACGGGCTCTCCTGAAACCCTTCCGCGACATCTTCCCAAACGTCGCGGAAAACCTATTAGGCGGCCTATGTGCCGCTTTGATCGCGCGGAACTATGTTGTATCCCTGGCATCGAACAACCGAAGGATCAACAACTTCTCGCATCCCTCCCCCGTGTCCCGGCTAGATACAGTACCAGAGAAGGTAGCTACCTCGCCAGGGATGCAGTTTAGTCCAGCTACTTCGTCTCGTGTCAAAGAACGCGTCCTAGGGTCCCGGAGCATGGAGCTTCGCAAAGAGCTGGACCGAATAGTGGATAACCTGCTCTTTGCTATATGCGGCAAAGCAGACGAGACGCTCAAGTCAGCCGTATTTGTCCTCGCTCAAGTGCTTGAAACCAAGAACTGAGCAGCCATTCTTTACTTGCCAACATCAGTCTCCTTGGGAGACTATCAATCACTATAGACATCTTTCCTATCTCTCCTTGTCTATTCTCTCCCACTATTTCCTTCTGTCCTTATATCCCAGTCCTGTCTCTGTGACCATATCTTTCCTTACTAGATTGGCTAGACCAGATTGCATAGAACCCTGCCTTTCGTTTCAGTGTATTCTATGAACTGTCCTTCACTTACATTTCTTTATCTGTCAAACTACATGCCTGGGGCCTGTTCCCTCTTGTATTTCCTACTGGCGATTGAAGCTTCATGTACTGCGTGCAGTTAGCCACTAGGGCTAATGTATAATAGCTAGTCGTTTCCCACCGAGATCTACATACAATGAATTATCTTTACATTCCAGTCTATCTGTCAATGTCACAGATTTAGCAAATGCGGGTTTTCCAACCACGGCCGAAGAAAAGATGACGTGTAGGCGTATCTTTCGATGAAAGGCACGTTGGAACGTCCTACTACCCTACTGCAGTGTTTCATCGCTTCTAGTATTTTTGGTCGCTTTCAGCTGGCCTGTGCTATCTGAATTTCTTCCTTGTATGTTTAGTGGTCAATATCTCCCCTTACTTGAGTGCAAGCGTTGCAGGAAAATGTTATTAATGGGTGATCCTTAGCACACCTCCAGTAGTGCTACATGCCATCTTGACTTAATGATTAGTGAGCTAGTTGGTGACGACCATGCATTGACAGCAGAACTTAATGAAAAAGAGACGGGGCTGGGACAAGGGAAACTAGCAGGGATGTCAAGGCAAAGGAGGGGGTTAGTGGGTGGATGAGGGGTACGCTTGGTTAGTGGTAAGAGTGGTGGTATCTGTGGTAGAATCGCTGAACATACTACTAGTATGAAGCATGTTCTGTTGCTCAAGCCCCCGAGCGTATGACAGAACTTTCCTTTTATTTTTATCTTACTTACTACTACTTTGGGAGAAGTATTCATTGATATGATATATATAGATACAAGATCATCTTTATAGCACCCTCTTATATCTATCTTGTCTAGGCTGAAGCTCGACTCGAGAGATGTCGACAGTGAACATAGTCAAGTATTATTTCTACAGAGGTATGATGCCTCAGGAGCAGGAGCTTTTGAGAAACATGGTTTCTCTCGCATATCAAACAGCCAGGGATCGAAAGTTGTATCCCAGAGCAATCTTGATAAGGTTAGCTGAGGCCCTTCAGATGTCTACCAGGTGTTCTCCAACTGCCCATGCTTTGATTCGTATGAATGACTAAGGTGTGTTTACAAACGGGCTAGATCAAGATCGCACAACACTACTAGCTTCAACGGGGTACATCAGCTGGATCCGAATGGCTGGCATTTGACATTTTGCTATAAGGACACCGCACAGCTCGCGAACGGGACTCATACTGCATGCCATGGGTATACCCCCAACAAAGATGTCTGGGAGTTGGTGAAGTCCACTCATGATGGTGTGAAGTCGGACACGGTCTTGAAGAGAAATGGAAAGCCTGTATGGCCAATAGAAGATGAACTGGAGGTTGCTCCTGAAATTGGTTATGGGCATATCGCTGAGATCGCTGGGTAGCTGGGGTCGGTCGAGTATTTGGCTGTGTCTGGGGCTGTGTCTTGGGCCAAGAAGGCAATCAAGATTTTGTACATGCAGTTTCTGGAAGAGGAGATGTATAAACATCTCCAAGCGTTCTTTACCAGATATCAATCAACTTCTTTCTCCTAGATACATGCAGTTGTCATTCCTTTGGGGTAACAAGTAACAGTGGCTGTTGTATCGGATAAAGGTTGAACCCAACCCGAGGCAAGTCATGTGGTTATGGTTTACTATTACAGGTTCATGTTTATGGGAAGCCAAGACTCAACCTTCCTTTCTACTTTTCCCTCGCGCATTCCCTCAGTTCCCTCAATCCTCCCATTCTCATCTCCTCCCTTCCTATCAAGAAGCCAGTGTTGATGGTGCTTGGCGCAATTGCTTACGGGAACCTCCCGGTCGGCCAAAGTCATAATTGCAGCAGCCCGGCGCAGTAATCAGGATATCCCATCGATCCCTAAGGCCATCTTTGCGTGCATGCACAGGTTATATTATGCGCATAAGTCGTGTAGTTTCATGCTTTAGCTCTCGGAAGGTGCTGCATAGTTGTCCTTATCCTACAAACTCTACCTTCCTCCCTATCCGCACCGAGCACTGCATTTTACCACATTCCAGATTATACACAGCTTTTGGCAGTAGAATGACATCTGTGAAGGACAACGGCACTTCCGATACAGTTAAGAATGCTATTGAATATATGCCTATCGAGGACGTTGAGAAACTTGAGCGGTACCGGCCAGGCGGTTATCATCCAACAACTATAGGAGAATGGTTGAATGGCCGGTATCGTATCGTGCATAAGCTTGGCTTTGGCGCATACTCAACCATTTGGATGGCAAGAGATCAGAAAACTGAAAAATATGTCGCCGTCAAAATCACCATCGCAGACTGCAATCCAACTAACTCCCAAGAAAGGAATATTCTCTATCGACTTGGTATTGCAGAGTTGAAAGCCAAGACTCATCCCGGCAGCGCAATCATTCCATCTATAACAGATGAATTCACCATTTCTGGGCCTAATGGTGTACATCAATGTTTTGTCACATCAGTTGGAATGATGAATTTAGCTGAGGCCAAAGATGCCTCATCTTTGCGGCTGTTCCAGTTGCCTGTGGCCAGGGCTTTCTCTGCTCAACTAGTCTTGGCAGTGGCATATCTTCATTCTCAGGGCATTGTCCATGCTGGTAAGTACATTTGCTATACATCATGATACCTACACTCATGCCATGTCAGATCTTCATCTCGGTAATATTCTGATCCTTCTTCCTGAGAGTATGGACCCGCTCTCCCCAGAGCAATTCTACGAAAGGCATGGACAGCCTCACCATGAGCCAGTTACCTGTCTTGATCAGCGTCCACTTCCTGATGGTGTCCCCGCACAAGCTGTCGTGCCTGTTTGGCTCGGAAAAGCGAGCGAAGAAGTTTCGCTATCTGAAGCTCAGATAGTTGTCACTGACTTTGGGGAGTCTTTCATGCCAGCCACTACAGCGCGGCATCACTCCAACACGCCGGATATGCTAGTCCCCCCGGAGACTTATTTCGAACCGAAAAAGTCACTTTCTTTCTCTGCTGATATTTGGACGCTTGCGTGCACCATCTGGGAAATAATCGGCCAGCGTCCACTTTTCGAAGGCTTTAATCCGTCAGTCGACTGGGTAGTGAAAGAACATGTTGATACATTTGGCAAATTGCCACTGCCGTGGTGGCAGAAATGGGAATCGCGGTCAAAGTGGTTTAATGAGGACGGAACAAGACATGGTATTACAAATTCAAGGCCCTGGGTGCAACGATTCACCCAATCAGTTCAGAAGCCGAGGGAAGAATTCAATATGCAACCGATGGGGGATGCCGAAAGGACTGCATTTCTTACTATGTTGAGAGATATGCTTGCATTCGAACCGGAAAAGAGACCATCTGCGGAGCGGATCATAGAATATGAATGGGTGCAACAATGGGCTCTCCCTGAGCTATCCAGGATGAAACAGAATATGCCATAATTTCAGCTATATCGTCTGTCTTGTTCAAACATCTAACCGCTTGATATAATAACCGCAATTCTACTACGCCTCACCACGAAACGTTGAACTGTAGTCTCGAGCCATTGACATAACAATATGATATAATACTAACACTACCTAGCACTGCTGGTTCTTGAAAGAAATAAAAGAAAGTGACTACTGCAACTAATGACCGTACTCCAGGACCATCTGCATATCAGCACATCATCGACACCTCAGGCACCAATCTCAGCTGAGTCATGAATCGGGCGGCATCGCAACCGAAGCTCCGATGGCTATCAGCGACTTTCCCGCGGAATCCAACTTGCATTTCAACTTCTCCAAAGCACCGCCGCCTGTCTCTTCTCCTCACCCCAAACACACACCATGGCAGCCGCATCAACTAACCGTCTACGGCTCCTCTACACCTCCACGAGGGCCTCCCTCCCTCAATCCACTCCCAGCATCCTCACAACCCGCACCTACGCCACAACCGACTCCTCCACCTCCGCCACCAGCACTCCCAAACCACGCCGCCGCACCGCATTCACAGACAAGCTCAACGCCGGCCCATCCTTCGGCGACTTCGTCTCCGGCAACAACGACAATGCGCCCCTTCTCGACCCCTCCGAAGCCTACGCCCTCGAAACCGCTCTCGTCGGCCCCGCCGGCCGCAAAAAGCAAATGACCCGTCTCCCACCCTGGTTGAAAACCCCCATCCCAGACTCCAAGAACTACCAACGCCTCAAGAAAGATCTGCGCGGCCTGAACCTCCACACCGTTTGCGAGGAAGCCCGCTGTCCCAACATCTCCGACTGCTGGGGTGGAGGCGACAAAGCCGCCGCTACCGCTACCATCATGCTCATGGGCGATACCTGTACCCGCGGGTGCAGCTTCTGCAGTGTCAAGACGAGTCGGAGGCCCGCTGCGCTGGATCCCCATGAGCCGGAGAACACGGCTGAGGCGATCTCCCGCTGGGGATTGGGGTATGTGGTGCTGACGAGTGTGGATCGCGATGATCTTGCGGATGGTGGTGCGCGCCATTTCGCTGAGACCGTGCGCAAGATCAAGTCCAAGGCGCCTAGCACTCTAGTTGAATGTCTGACTGGTGATTACCGTGGTGATCTGGATATGGTGGCGCTGGTGGCTAATTCGGGATTGGATGTGTATGCGCATAACATTGAGACTGTTGAGGCTCTTACCCCCCGTGTTCGCGATCGGAGAGCTACCTTCAAGCAGAGTATTGCTGTGTTGGAGGCGGCTAAGAAGGCCAATCCGGAGGTTATTACGAAGTCGTCGTTGATGTTGGGTCTCGGGGAGACTGAGGAACAGTTGGAGCATGCGCTGGCGCAGTTGCGTGCTGTTGATGTCGATGTTGTCACTTTCGGGCAGTATATGCGTCCGACGAAGAGGCATATGGCTGTGCATGAGTATGTCCATCCGAAGTGGTTCGAGCATTGGCAGCGTCGTGCTGAGGAGCTGGGATTCCTCTACTGTGCTTCTGGACCGTTGGTGCGCAGTTCTTATAAGGCTGGTGAGGCCTTCATTGAGAATGTCTTGAAGAAGAGGCGCGCTGGGGTTAGTGATGCTGTTGCTGAGAAGAAGGTTGCTGCTGCTGTTGATGAGGCTACTCGTTGAGATCTAGCTCGACCTGTTCTCTTCGAGCTGTGTACGATTTCTTGTGTTTGTCTTTCGGTTTCATGGGCGCATGGTTGCATTAAATGGGGCTTATACTGTGGTTGTTTCGAGCTTCTGGTTTTAAGATTGGTCTACTTACAGACACACACATATTATCAACTACGACTAGCATCGCTAGGATTCATTAGGAATTGGGCCCGGGATGAGCGGGATGGGCTGGCTGGCTGTCCCAATCATCTACTACTACAGGGTCGTGGATAGAAAGATACTAATTCAACATGTATGGCATCCATTTCACATAAAAAAGGTAGACAGGAATATTGTCAACATCAGCATCAGCCATTATCATGATCTCGCAGTCGTTTGAATCAATTCAAAATTTGTCCGTACGTAGCTAGCCCATCGTCATATAGTAGTCGTATGTATTTGTACCTGCCCGTGTTTGTTCCGTGCCTACTCCGACGCCCGCATGTAAACGCACTCGTGCTCATCGTTCTAATGCATGAAACTATTTCCGCTTGGCTTCTCGAATTCGCATGATTGGGTAAAGGGGGTGAGGGAAGGGACGTGATGGTTTTGGTTTGGGCTTGGTCTGTCTACACATGCCAAATCCAAAACCTGGGGGGCAAAGAGAGATAAAAGAGAGATAAACATATGTGGAGAGAGATGGATAGGGAAATGATATGGGAATGGAACGGAAAGAAAGGAACCTATCCAATGGTGCGCGGGAGGACTCCAATAACGGGTTGGAGAAGTAGTAGTAGAGTACGCACCTGGCGACATTCCGCATGCTTGTCGCCGAGCTGACTAGTGGAAGACGCACGTGTTCGTGTCTTTCTACTGATCGCTTGGTCACTGTAATGGATGCTCGGTAGCACATCTTCAACTACGCAATCAGCTCGGAAATGTCATCCTTAGTCAGGCCAAGGAGGTGGAGGATATCCACGAGGCTCTCGCCATTGAGACGAGTCGGTGCCTCGAGCTGCACCTTGCTCTTGGCCCGCCAGGCAACTCCCAGTCCCGCTGCGTGCAGCATGAGCAGGTCATTGGCTCCGTCACCAACAGCGACAGTTTGGGAGATAGGGATGCCATGCTCCGCGGCAATCGAGTGAAGAATCGAGCGCTTCTGGCTCGCATCGATGATGGGGTATGTGGGGACCAGTTTGCCGGTCAGATTTTGCGTCGTAGGATCGATCTCGAGCTAAACAGTGTATTAGTACTTAAGCGAAAATACAAAATTTTTGATGGAATGGATGTCGCATCACATACATGGTTGGCATGCGCGTAGTCAAGTCCAAGTTGTTCGGCAAGCCACTCCGCAAGAGGCTGGAAGCCTCCACTCAAGACTGCCATTTTGCAGCCGAGGGTCTTCAAGGCCTTGCACAGTTCACGCGCACCTGGAGAGATGGTGATGACGGACTTCAGCTTCTCGAAGACGTCCGCAGGAACACCCTTCAGCAGACTGACCCGCTCCCGGAGAGATGCGGAGAAGTCCAACTCGCCGTTCATAGCACGAGCCGTGATTTCCTGCCATCAATATCAGTATATACAACGCCTTGCCATCGTTGTGCGAGAATGGTACGAACCGAAACCTCCTTCTCCACGCCGATGAACTTGGCAATCTCATCGATCACCTCGTTCTGGATCAATGTACTGTCCATATCAAACACTACCAACCGCTTGTGCCGACGAAAGACGCTCTCCCGCTGGAGGACGACCTCCACATTCCATTCGCGCTCGAATCGCCATATGCTCTCATGTTTCCGCAGGTCCTCGAAGGTAAGGTATTCCGGGTTGGGAGGAGGCGAGAAGGTGACTTCGACGACGCGAGGCTGGTCGTGACGATCCAAGCAGCGATGCGAAGTGTTGGTGCGCTGATACGGGGTCGGAAGGGTTTCGATGATTTGAAGGAAGTTGGTCAGGCAGAGCTGTGATACAAACGGGCCGTACAGATGATCAAGCGGCTCCGGCTCTGGGGCGGGAGGCTCCCGTGGGATCTTCTCAATATCGACCGTCGGGGCGGAACCTACGGGTACCATGGGTGACGGCAGAGTTTGGCCAGATCCGACATGAGGGGAGGAATCGGGGTGCAGATGGGGATGGATAGGATCAGCAGACTTGTAGTAGATCGTAGCGACCAGTTGCTGTGTTCCAGTAGGCAGTTCATTGGACTGCTGGTTGAAGATGCTGTGGATAATGCCACTGTCGGTGACCTTCTCGGGATCGGGGCTAATGGGATTAGCTTTGACGGACAGCGCAGCAAACGCTGACTCGGGAGAATTGCCAATCACGTTGCCGATGGTCTGAATGGGGGCAGAGGGTTTGTACTGCTGATGATCCTGGATGAAGGATGCGCTGGACAGGGTCTGTCGCAAGACCGGGCGCGTGGGACGGCCGTTGTTGGTGGGGTTGGGCGCTGCCATTGTGCCGGACTAGAGAGTTTTCGGCGCAAAAGAGAGGAGAGGAGAGGAGAGTTGAGTGAGTGAGGGGTGAAAGTGGGATTCGGAGGTAGACGGAGATTGATAGCACAAGGGCGAGTATGCAAGCAGCGGACGATCCTCAGCAATCAACAGCGAATCCACCCGGTGGGAACAAACCCTCGACACGCTGGAGCAGTCAGGAAGCAGAAGGGAGATACGAGAGCGTCTAGACAAGGTCAAAACGAGAGTCTGGCTTTGAACTCACGGCGAATTTCCCCTGCAGCTCCGATCGGCCGCACGTGGTGGGGGATCCCGTGCCCCTCGGTCACATGAGCTGGAAGTCATGTGCCTTCACCGCCCGGCAGAACCAGGCCAACTTCTTCCCCACCCCAAGAAACATGAAAGATGGAGATGACGATGATATCAATCTTTGGGGAAGGGGGATTCATGGAGCAGAGCAAGCGCACTCCAACTGCCACCATCGGTTTAGTATGACAAATACGGGTCTATTCTGACTAGTCGCCAAGACAAATACAATGACACTAGATCTAGTTATCTACAAGTGTCTGACTCAAATCAGCCGGGTTTGTTTTCTAAGCAATTCATCTCCTCCAGTCCGAGGCTAATCATCAACTAGATCTGCACCTCTCTGGGGCCAGAAAACAGACCGGAACAGGGATACCATGCCATCATCAAGATAAGATGAGCAACGGCTACACGGACTTGCCGACCGGATGAACTTTGATGCCCTTCGCCCAAGTTCTTCACTGTTCCAACTTCACTGTGGACCATGCTGGATTTATCAGCAATGGCACCTGCGGCGGTTGTTTCAGTGGATGAGCTAAGCGTGTCCGGGTGCGCAGAGTCACCCAAAGCGCAAGTATTGCGTGATTTCCCCAGGACATGAGGAAATTAAATTTTTCAGCCCAGTCGCCCAATTGTGCAGGCGGTCACAGACAATGTCGTGATCGAGAAACGGCAGAATGACCCGGCATGTATGAGGGACTGAGGGCAGGAAGAACGGGTGCCCCCGACCCGATGATGTCGTGATTGCCCCTGTCCTGTCTTTCTTTTATATCGGACTGGTCAGGTCGTCTCCATTGTGTTCTGTCTACATCATCTCTTGCCTCCCACTTCAGTTCCAGTCCTTCCGTCATCCCTCCAAGTCTGTCGAGCCATTACATATAGACCCGCTTGTATTTCATCTGCTCGTCGTTGGGATTGACTTGTCTACGATATACCCTGTCATTCGACTACTCATTCACCATGCCTGCGAAGACATCTGAGAACTACCCCTCTGCCTATGAGGCTGCCGACATTGCCACCGACTCTGGCTATGTCAGTGGTGGCTCTAGTGATGACTACTCCCCAGAAATCGTCTTCACTAAGCCTCACTTGAACTTCCTCAACAGACAATTGCAGTTTCTTGAGCCTCAAGGTCAGCATGGGTTGCCCCTCTTACGCGTCTCCAGGCCAAGTTGACTAACACAAACGCAGATGTGCTGAGATGGTGTGTCACCTCTTTGCCTCACCTCTACCAGACCACCGCTTTCGGTCTCACTGGTCTTGTGACCCTGGACATGCTGTCCAAGCTGGACGTGCCCCGGCCCCAGATGGTTGATCTCATCTTCCTCGACACCCTCCACCACTTCAAAGAGACCCTGGATCTGGTCGACCGTGTCCGCCAGAAGTATCCTTTGGTCAACATCCACGTCTTCAAGCCTCAGGGTCTCGAAACCGAGGAAGAATTTGCCCAGAAGTACGGTGCCCGTCTCTGGGAGAAGGACGACCAGTTCTACGACTGGGTGGCCAAGGTTGAGCCTGCCCAGCGTGCCTACCGCGAACTCAACGTTCACGCTGTCCTTACTGGACGTCGTCGCAGCCAGGGTGGCAAGCGTGGTGATCTCGATGTCATCGAGGTTGACGAGGCTGGCCTGATCAAGATCAACCCTCTCGCCAACTGGACCTTCGAGCAGGTCAAGCAATATGTCCAAGAAAACGATGTTCCCTACAACGAGTTGCTCGACCGTGGTTACAAGAGCATTGGCGACTACCACTCCACCCAGCCAGTCAAGGAGAACGAAGATGAGCGGTCTGGTCGCTGGAAGGGCCAGGAGAAGACCGAGTGCGGTATCCACAACCCTCGCTCCAAGTATGCTCAGTTCCTCATGGAGATGGAGCGTAAGCGTCAAGAGGAGGCCCTATCTCAGGCCCTTCAGACGTCCTTGACGACGTCCGCTCAGTAAAGGCCGCTTGTCTTCTTTCTCACCTTGCATCTATAACGGCGTTCTATGACCTGGGAGTTTTATCTGGAGTGGAGTTACATAGCCTTGTTGATTTACTTGTTTTACAAAAGACACCCCATGGTATGGGAAAAGGAGGATTATGTTTTATGACATCTGGGAATTCTTGAGCAAACGATTCGAATGGGCTCAAAGGCCGCTCGTCAATCCTACTCCGATCGGAGAATTGTACATACAGGGTTGGCGGAGATTGGCAGGGATTTGCAAAAGACGGCTTACAAGCCAAGTACATTAATGACTTGCATGATACAAATGATTAGACTATTTTATTCTATTCTACTTTTCTTATTTTTCCCACATTAAGCTTGAATTGGACCCTATCTGTAGACTCGCGGAGTGTAGGACTGTGGGGTGGGGTGGTCGAACTTCAACCCTATCCGATATCGCACCCGACCCAACCGAATAGGAAGTGAATTCGCTACTATGAATCCGTTGAAGGATTAAAGTTTGCTGATTCGGATCGGCCGGAACTGCCTATTGATCTTCTGTAAATACTGACTGAAATTCTTCGATTCTCAACAAATACTCCGGAGATGATCAAGACCCTGCCAAGACCATAGATACTACACCCAGCGCCTCCGGATATAGTGCAGTGGGCTAGATTACCCCAGCCTGCGGTTGAGAATTGCTTGTTATCCTTATAGACCAACAGCAGCAGAGCTTTTCGAAAAGATTACCTAACATGAATGATGATAGTATGATTTAAAAGATTTAGTTAATTAGTAAATAGCCCGCTGGGCTTCGGGCGCCTGTCTAAACCCTTCCACGAAAAATAGTAAATGTAACTCCACACATACCTACACATTACTACACATTCCATTGTGCCTCTCTTACTTGTCTCAAATATAATATATTAGTATTTCAATTGAGAAGGCATTTCACGATATACTGGGGAAAATAGCGAGATGACGAGTGTTAAGCCATTCACTCACTCGCACTCCCCACCTTCTTGGGGAAATTCTTCCGCATCACTGATATTTCGAAGCATGAACAAATTCGCTTTCATTCGACAGTTCCAGATTCCTGGCGTATGAAGGGATGTTAAGTTTTCTGTTGTGTTTCATTTCAACCTTGAATTCGTGACAGGGCAGCGATCTTATCTTATCAATCTAATCGGTTCAACCTTATCAGCGGCAGCAGAATGAAATTGTGCTTCTCTCGTGCGAGAGATTCTAGGTTGATTGTTCTGCCCCATTTTCTTTTATGTAAGAGTATGGGGTTGGTGTTTACGTTCTAGATTCAGTATGCTTAAGAGTTTCTTGGAAGGGCGGCTTATGTGTCACGATTTATCCAGGGAACGTGCACTTTCTCGCTTACTTTTAGCTTGGATTGCTGGACAGTTGCAAGCGCTGATTGTTTAAAACGGATTGGCAGCAGAATCGCAGGCACTCAAAATCTTAGAAGACTACTCGCTTGGTTTGCGCCATAGATCTACTTTTTTCTTGCTTATAGACCCTGAATCGAAGTAAGTTGAGGCTCTCAGCCTTGTGGTTCATGCATGACAGGTGTTGTGGCCCGATAATGCGGTGTAGGGCTATACTAGTTGGTTGCATCATTTACTTCCAATTATCGTCATTCTTGGCTACACCACAAGAAAGAATTGCATACGTCTGCAACCCCTCCCGCTCTTTAAGAGAAGCCACATCCCGCGCTCCCGGACCCTGAGACCCTGAACTAAATACGATCACGCCGTGAACAGTTCCACAGCGGACCGACGCAAGTCAGATGAGTTCGTGATATACTATGTATGCGTGGAGTGGCTGTTCAGTGTTACCGCCTGGATGATGTCGGCAGACTTAACACTAGCACTAGGTGGTTGTCAAGCGTTCCCCGGGCTTTTGCTTATTCGAGATGAGTGGCACAGGTCTTTTACTAGGCGAAATGACACTACTAGGAAAACCCTGACTGACATCTCCGCGGATACTGCGGCTGGCTGAGAAATCAATATCAGATTTTGATCTTCTGGTTTATTCTTCTGTTGTCATGGTGTCCCAGTAGCAGGTCGCTGCTTAGGGCAAGCGGGTCACCTGAGCGACAGGGCGGAACCGGTGCCAAGGAGGGACTAGGCCTCGGCTGGCGTAGTCAATCACGCAAGCCGAGCTGGAGATGTCGTGATCCCATCACGTGATTTTTGCGGCGGCGGTTTTTTTTGAAACGCGGCGAACGACCAAGGAAATCATGTTTGACTGGTATGTTTCAAAACCGTTTTGCCGGCTGGGCCTGACATCTACAATAAATGATCGGAGGAAACTTTCTATCTGAGAAATGTCCACGCATGCGATTGACATCTCGCATACGCTGGTGCTTTACTTAAACGGCAACTATCCTGTTGCCCCCCCTGAAAATCATGACTTGTTCTGGGCTCCGTAGACCCAGCGGGGGAAATTATGTGGCTTTCAACATGAGGTTGATGACGACGATGGGGGGGCAGCGATTATCCCCCGTGGTTACGAGGGCCGCCCCGTATCTCCGAGGAGAGCCCATCCGCCATCGGAAGTACAAATGTAGTTCAAATTCAAGTATAGAGTAGAGGCGTCGGCTTAAGCGCCCGTCCTTCTAGAAGACCCTAAAAATAGAGAACTTATGAGGATAGCATGCTGGAGACAAGCGATGGCGCCATCGCGCTGGGGATGAGCAATTGCGAATGCGACGTGTGTGCAGCCTCATCGGGGGGGGAGAGTAAAAGAAGGACAGACAGACGTACGACACAAAGGCATACGTAGACGCTCTTCGTACCAAGAGTCCGACAGCTCCACCACCTTTCGACGAGACCGCAGGACAGATCCCGATGGTTGATTTGGCTGGAACGGAGAACTTGACGGTCGTTGGAGAAAGCATATTGGTCATCGCTGGAGTCCCTCAATCTCCTGAATTGCTCGAATTGGATCATTGCCTTGGTTGCTCCGCTGTTCCCCTCTTGACCCCTTCCTGAACTTTTTTTCCCTTTCCACTCTTCATAAACTCCATTCTTCTCCCTTCTACCCCCCTCCACTCTTCTCTTTCTTCTTTATAATCCTCTGGGACCCTCCAGACCCTTTCCTTTCCTTCCTTTCTTTTCTCCATCACATCTTTGCTTGAGTGGAATTCCATCCCTCATCATCCTTTCACAATGGCCAACTCTCCCCACGGTGGTGTCCTTAAGGACCTTCTCGCCCGCGATGCTCCCCGCCACGACCAGCTGGCTGCTGAGGCGGAGACTCTCCCTGCCCTCACTCTCACTGAGCGCCAGCTCTGCGATCTGGAGCTCATCATGAACGGTGGTTTCAGTCCTCTGGAGGGTATGTTGCCAATCATCCCACTTTCTCCGTTCTGGTTGCCCGCGACTATCCGTCCGCTTGCAACCGTCGCGGGGTGAAATCGTCAGTCTTGGCTAACTCCGGGCGCAGGCTTCATGAACCAGAAGGACTTCGACGGGTATGCTACGATCCCTCAAACCCCATCAATTTACGCCAGCAGTCCTCCAAGCGACACTAGATATGCAGAGAGAGGACCTGTTCAACAGGCGAAAGTACTGGGGGACAATTAGCTGACATCGGTTTTCGTTCAGTGTTTGCGAGAACTGCCGTCTTGCCGATGGCAACGTTTTCTCCATGCCCATCACCCTCGACGCCTCCCAGAAGACCATCGACGAGCTTAAGCTCCAGGCCGGCTCTCGTCTCACCCTGCGCGATTTCCGTGACGACCGCAACCTGGCCATCCTGACCATCGACGACATCTACCGCGCTGACAAGTGAGTGGAGCCCCTCTTTCCTCTTATTCTTCTGAATTTTTCCGTACGAATGGGAATCGCGGGACCTTGGCGATCGCTATATCTCTGACTTGAACGGGGCGTTCTTGAAACGAGAGTTTGGCATCGCCGGCCTTGATTTCCCACGGGCGGAGTTCACTAGCCGTCGGGGATTTTGCAGATAGTGGGTCTCGATGACGCGGATGGGCTAACGATGTGCTTTTCACCCCTGATTTAGGCAAAAGGAAGCCAAGCTGGTCTTTGGCGGAGACCCGGAACACCCTGCCATCAAGTACCTGAACAACACCGTCCAGGAGTTCTACATTGGTGGAAAGATCGAGGCTGTCAACAAGCTCAACCACTACGACTATGTCGCTCTTCGCTGTATGTCATTGCCCGTGCGCGATCCTTGCGACCGCATCCCGATTCATGTACTGACCGCGCGGGCCTCCTAATTTAGACACTCCCGCGGAATTGCGTGTCCACTTCGACAAGCTCGGCTGGTCCCGAGTTGTCGCTTTCCAGACTAGGTACGTGTGGCCGAGACCAGCTATAGTGCACCCGTTATGATGCGCGCGACCTTACGACTAACCGTCCCTCAGAAACCCCATGCACAGAGCTCACCGTGAGCTGACCGTCCGTGCCGCTCGCGCCCGTCAGGCCAATGTCCTGATCCACCCCGTCGTTGGTCTCACCAAGCCCGGTGACATTGACCACTTCACCCGTGTCCGTGCCTACCAGGCCCTCCTGCCCCGCTACCCCAACGGAATGGCTGTCCTGGGTCTCCTGGGTCTGGCTATGCGTATGGGTGGTCCTCGTGAGGCCATCTGGCACGCTATCATCCGTAAGAACCACGGTGCCACTCACTTCATCGTTGGTCGTGACCACGCCGGTCCCGGTAAGAACTCCAAGGGTGAGGAGTTCTACGGTCCTTACGATGCTCAGCACGCCGTCGAGAAGTACAAGGACGAGCTTGGCATTGAGGTCGTCGAGTTCCAGCAGGTCACCTACCTGCCCGACACCGACGAGTACCGCCCCAAGGACGAGGTCCCCGCTGGTGTCAAGACCCTCGACATCTCCGGTACCGAGCTCCGCAAGCGCCTCCGCACCGGTGCTCACATCCCCGAGTGGTTCTCCTACCCCGAGGTTGTCAAGATCCTGCGTGAATCCAACCCCCCTCGTGCTTCCCAGGGTTTCACCATCTTCCTTACCGGTTACATGAACTCCGGCAAGGACGC